TACGATTTTTATTTATTTTTACCCCATGCTTACGAATAGTCATATTTAGGGTAGGGCGCCATGGACAAATTTTAATTAAAAAAGTACGCTGCGACTAGGAAAAGTTTGGGAACCACTTTTCTAAGAAATGGATTTCAAGATGAGATATCAGGGGCGATTGGGATTTAAGCTTAATTGCTTTGTTGGCCTAGTAAATTTTGCAAATGCCAGGAAAAATGAGTGATAATACGTGTTTTAAGTTAAATGTCGCAAAATTCTTTCATATTTATCGCTTCCATGGAAGGAGAAAAAAAATCAATTAGAATTAATGCAATTTTAACTATCATTCTCAGTAAACAAAAATAATGTTAATTTACTATATATATCTGGGTAAGTGTATATGCTTCTAAGACTGGAAACGAGTATTAAAATCTGGGCTTAATTGCATCTGCTAAAAATTCTACGTGCATTACACTTTGTTCTGCTCTAGAGACCATTTTTCCCATTCCACTTGACCTGGCCACAAAAACACCAGCTCAAAATTTCCATGATTGTGATTCATGTTTGTTAAGTATAGTTTGTTATTTCGGATAAATGACGCTATTTTTGCTTATAAACTGAGCTCGTGAGCCTGTAGTGATGCAAATATAGAGGGTTGAAGAATAAGCCAGAAGAAATTAATCGAAAAACGAATCCGCTTAATTACGTGCACACTCTGTATCAAGTAAAGATCGTCTTTCTTTCTTGCCTTTTATTTAAAAAGAATTGTTTCAGGGCTCAATCATTACTCATTTATCCAAAAGGAGTTAAGTTCTATAACAAAGGCTAATAGGTTGCAAAATTTATTGATTCCTGAAATCGTCGTTGCTTGTATTTTAGCTCTTTCTTCCAGATTCCTCATTTTCAGCCTGTCGGATTTGTTTTTATATAGTTCTTTGATATCACAGCAACGCGAGTTGCATATTCTACATCTAGTTTACTTCGCCAATTTTCACAAAACTCCCTCTTCTCTGACTATTTTATAGAACGTTTAACTGGAGCCACCGATGCGAATATAAGCTTTAGTTCACCGCCAAAATATCATACACAATAGTAGTTTTATACTCGTTAACGGGCAAGATACAATGAAGTTGTTGAACAATTCAATTATTAACATAGTCTATAAATAGCAAATGAGACCACTATTGTATAGAGGTAATGTGCTCGAAAGTTTTTCTGACTTCAACTTCTACTTTAACATATCTTTCTAAGTTTGATTGAGATTTTCCATGCAATTAAAATATTCTCATTAGATTATATGCATTTATTTTTGCAATATTGAATCAATATATGGGAATAAAAACTAGCTAGTTAAGAAAGCATATCTTAATTTCGGCAAACCAGCTACAATTTATCTATATCCATTATTATTAACGATTTCAGCACAACCTATTCCTTTTTTTTCCATCAAAATGGTCTGTCTATTTTGTAAATTTAAGGGATCCTAAATTTTTCTTACTGGCTTTAGCGCTGTTGATCGTTTCGCGCCACGTGGGCCAACTCCTTTCTTGGTTGACCAAGTCACAACTTGTATTGTCATTTCTTATGCTGTAATGCTCCAGCTTTGAGATCGACGAAGCAGTTGGCAGAAAGCAATCAAACACAGCCTTATGGCAGTGCTCGAAACTATTCAGAGGAAAACCGCCACGTTTGCTATTATTTCCCCCATCTCGGTCTGAGTGATCCTGGTGTACAGCCATCAAATATTTCAGACGGTTGTCGAGATCGGCCAGATAAATGCAGACTTTCGGTAGGGCCATAGGCACACTTGAATTTCTGCACTCGTCTGGGTAAGAACAGAGCTGATTCGGAGGGCAACTTTTGGGTTTGTGGTGAAGGCGGCAAACTTCCGATCGAGCATGGCAGCCAGCAAAGCGACCTGACTTCTGTTTTAGTGCCAATGGAAAAAAAGTCAGTTTAAAAAAGCCCCTTATTCGGCTATTAATCACCATACAGATATTGAAAAAGAAGTAATGTGGCAATCTATTCGGTAACAAATTTGGAAACCTCAAGAATAATTGACAATCGCTTGCCTGTAGTTGTTATGTCCAAGATAATGTCTCTTAAGATTTGGTTATTTGCACCAAATTTAATTTAACTTTAAGCTGTAGCATTCCAAATTAATTATAAAAATGTCTTTATCATTATTCGTCTGACTTACAATTATAGGTTTTACCACGTTTTCGCAATTTTGTCTTGCTGTCATGGCGACCTAGTTGGACGCACCTTATCCAAAGTCCACTGCTATAGTATATATGATAACACCCAGCAATGGGCCGTTGACCTGGTATGTTCCCAAAACTTTTCCCAGCATCATAGCTGGCATTGTCAGTAATTCATACAAGTCTTAACACCAAGCTACAGCTCGTCAAAGAGACAAGTGAAGTGAAACTCTTGACCAACTTTTTGCCGAACGGTCTAATCATCAATCATAGTACATCTACTTACTCCCTATCCTTCCATCTTACTTCCTCAAAGGAGAGTGGATGTATACAGATATAGCAATAACTTTGCCTATTGTTTGAGCAAAATCGGAGCAAATCTTATACAGCAAGACCAGCAAAACGGAGACGCCTGGATCAAGGATTTATTGTCACCCAGAGAAAAAGGGATAACAAGGAGGAATCGGGCAATGAAAATTGGGGAATCAAGAGAAAATGTTTGCAGCGAGTTTAGTCTACTCGAAGAAGCAATTACAGCTTAGGGGCATGG